CGTACATCGTGCCCTGAAAGGTGAAATAAGTGTTAAGGCAGACCCCCATTAATTTTATAAGGTCTTCCGTTCGAAGGGAGTCTTGATGTAATCTTTGGTCTCCCTGATTCAGTCGATCCCTCAAGACCGCAATGGCAAGTTCTTGCGGGATGGAAGTGAACAGGGAGACTACATCGAAGGAGACCATAATTTCATCTTCTTCCACCTTCAGGGCCCTAATTTTGTCAAGGAACTCCTCTGCCGACCTCACAGTGGTGTTGCTATTATCTGTCAAATGGCTGATGCGTGTGCTCAGCCATTTAGCCAGTTCGTAGGTGGGGGTGCCCCTGAACGCAACAATGGGGCGTAGGGGGACGTCTGGTTTATGCACTTTTTATGCACGCCCCATTGTTGCGTTCAGGGGCACCCCCACCTACGAACTGGCTAAATGGCTGAGCACACGCATCAGCCATTTGACAGATAATAGCAACACCACTGTGAGGTCGGCAGAGGAGTTCCTTGACAAAATTAGGGCCCTGAAGGTGGAAGAAGATGAAATTATGGTCTCCTTCGATGTAGTCTCCCTGTTCACTTCCATCCCGCAAGAACTTGCCATTGCGGTCTTGAGGGATCGACTGAATCAGGGAGACCAAAGATTACATCAAGACTCCCTTCGAACGGAAGACCTTATAAAATTAATGGGGGTCTGCCTTAACACTTATTTCACCTTTCAGGGCACGATGTACGAACAGATTAAGGGAACTCCCATGGGGTCGCCGATCTCCAGCGTGATCGCAGAGGTGGTGCTCCAGCGACTGGAACACATAGCGTTGGCCCAATACCAACCAAAATTTTGGGCCCGCTATGTGGACGATACTTTTGTGGTCATCAAGGAGCGGCACAAGACTGGCTTTATGAACATCCTGAATTCGGTATACCCAGACATCCAGTTCACCATGGAAGAGGAACACCAGGGCAGCTTAGCGTTTTTAGATGTGTTAGTACAGCGCCAGGTGGACGGATGTCTGGCTACCAGGGTATACCGAAAACCCACATGTACAGACAGGATGTTACACTTTGAGAGCAATCACCCCATGGCTCATAAAGCCAGCTGTGTCAAAACCTTATTCAAGCGAGTGGAGTCGCACTGCAGCACTGCTAGAGCCAAGAGGGAGGAGAGAAATTATCTCTTCCGGGTGTGTAAACACAATGGGTACCCGGCCAAATTTATCAATCGGTTCAACAAACCATCTGGACCCCGGAGTGACCCCACACCCCAAAGACTTACACCCCAAGCAACCACACGCATTACTCTCCCCTATATCCATAACGTCTCAGAGGCCACTGCAAGGATTTTAGCACCGCATAAGATACAAGTGGCCCATAGACCCAACCAAACACTGCGGGCAGCTGTCATGCGCCCAAAGGACCCGCTCCCCAGCACCGAAAGGTCGGCAGCCGTTTATAAGATCAATTGCATGGACTGCCGATCCAATTATGTTGGGGAGACAGCCAAACGGATCAAAACCAGGGTCCACGAGCATAAGTTAGCAGTAAGAAGGGGAGATCCACATTCCCAAATATGGGCACACATGGCGGAATTAGATCATAAATTTAATTTCAGTGAGGTCAGCGTATTGGCTAGCGACAATACCAAGGGGGGCCGCCTACTTAAGGAGGCATGGCTCTCGGATGACAATTCTATTAACCGGCATGTGGACCTGTGCCCGGCATACATGGCTTTAAGGCTGTGGAGCACTAATAATCAAGGACAGCACCCCCGACGTCCCAATAATAACTCTAATGGCATTAAGGGAGATACAGATACTCGAAATATGGTGACCAAGTTAGAAGAGAGGAAACCACAAGAAGGAGAAAGAACTCAAGAGATCAAGCCACCGTTCCCCCCGCTTGCGTATCCCGGAGAGTTTCGGAGAACCTGCATGGCCACCGACGATGCAGGGAGGAGGAGACAAGCTGAGGAAAGACGCTGTAAAGATCAAATAGACTGCGATTCTATCGCTACCCTCTCCTCCGGACCGATCACTCGTAGCAGGAGACGCGCCGGACAGCTGCGGGCAGCGACGAGCGGGGAGCCTCCGCCCCTCGCCACCTATGACCGAACGGCCTGCCCTTCGATTTTGGACTGCCGACGATCTATATCTACTTATAGTGAGGAAGGACGCTGCAAAGATCAAGCAGATTACGATTCTACTGCTAACCTTCCCTCTGGATCGATCACTCGCAGCGGGAGACGCGCCGGACAGCTGGGGGTAACGACGGGCGGGGAGCCTCCGCCCCTCTCCACCCATGACCGAATGACTTCCCCTCCGACTTTGGACTGCCAACGAACTACATCTACTTGGGAGGGGCGCGTGAGATCACCTGGACGATACCTACCCCAAGAGGAAGAGCGAAAGCGCGGCTCCACCGCTACCCTCTCCAGATTGCCCGAACAGGGCGCAGCGCGCACAAAACGACTACACACAGGGACAGTTGAGGAATCACCACTCCTCCCCCCGCATTCAAAAGGTCCCCCCCTCCAGCCCCAGATCGATAATGAATTACAACTACCTCGAAAGGACCCATGCGATCACTTGAATGACACCTGCATAAGAAACAAAAATACCAAAATTCAACAACAAAAAACTTGCCATAGGAAGAATGATGGAACGAAGGAGGACTGTAAAAGAAACACGAAATGCACGTTGCCATTTACCCCCGAGGGAAAAGAGTTCAAATATAGGGACTGTTGCAACCATAGAGACACTTGCCCGCTCACCTCAAGACTGAGGGGGAGAGGGATGGAGGAGGATGAACGGACGGTTGAGATGAATAGAAAGGAGCAGACCAGCCGCACGCAGTTATCCTATTTAGGCCCGATGACGAGGTCGAGGAGTCGTGCGCAGACTTCACCACACCTATAAGAATGACTCTCCCACTCCCTGGCGCACTAGCCCTGAGGATGCCGGACGGCGAAAGCTAGGCGCTTTTTAATAAAATTTTATAATTTTACTACCCTGGTGATCATTTTATTTCCTATCATGAACACTCCCAGGGTTCACGTTTTTAATCTTCTTAAACGCGAATATATATATATATATATATTCTGAGGTTTTCGCGGGTATTTGTATGTAGGTCTTTGGTTGTTCGGGTTTTCTCCTGCGTAAAATTGGAAGTGTCTTGGTGACGTTTCGACGAAGTCCCATTCGTCATCTTCAGGCTAGTGTTTTCAGCTTTGTGCTTTGAGCAGCAATTGCTGCTCAAAGCACAAAGCTGAAAACACTAGCCTGAAGATGACGAATGGGACTTCGTCGAAACGTCCCGGTGTATAAGACGACCCCCGACTTCGGCGCTGAGTCGCATGCCTAGAAAGTAATCTTATACGCCAGAAACTACCGTTATTTCCAGCGTATAAGACGACTTGGCGTATAAGACGACCCCTGACTTTGGCTCCGATTTCAACGCTTTCAAAAGTCGTCTTATACGCCAGAAAGTATGGTAAGTCATATAAGAAACAGGTCTCCTGTTCTGAGGCATTGTCTCAGATATGACTTGGAGCTAGCATAATTTATCGGTGGCTGAAAAGAATCTGCAAGTTAAACAATGGCATGTCAATAATTTTCCTTAATAACTTTATAGATAACATTCTTTCAATTTCTTATTAACAGCTTATTACATGTTTCACAAAACTTAAAATTTGTTATTACAATAGTAGTAAAAAATCAAAAGATTTATTTAACCTGAAAAAATATCAGAGCAGTTCTGTGAAGTTGGTCTTCTTAACTGGGCATTAATTCTGAAAATAGAAAATAGAAGTCTTTAAGACTTCTAGACTAGAAATACTTTAAGTCCGCTTTACATTATATTTGCCACAAAGTACTAATAAAAAAAAATCCCCAGGTAAAAAAAATTAAACATTGTCTTAAAACAACTAATTTAATGCTACATTTGTGCTTCTGTCACTCCTGCATGAGATCAATTCCTGCAGAAAACAACACAATTTTTATGTTTGGTCTTTTCAGTTCCATTAGTGGCCAAGAGAAATATTTAGCCTTTGAAGGCTATAGTGATCATACGAATTACAATTAGCAGAATATGTGTGGATCACTTGGTGGAGGGAAGCTGCTGTTGCATCTTTATGGCAAATGTTATATGCATATAGATGCAACAACAAGAATAAATAATTTCTTAAAGTAATTTTATGCATACCAGTTATATTATGTACTTAAGGGACTACAGGGTCATAAAAATGTAGTGCAGAACGTGAATCTTAATCTACCAGTTCATTTAATCTGAATATTTATCTATCTCAGCAACTATTTTACATTTTAAAGCAATATTTATTTCCTCTATAAGTGTATAAACCTTTGTTATAATACAAAGGCTAATGCTGTGTATTTTTTAACCTAATCAATATACGGCTAGATGGAGGCTTGTAAAAATCTTGTGGATTTGCATAACAATAACTTATGAGAGTGGTATCATTCCCCAAAGATTCATAAATAACTCTGATAAATACTTTGTGTGGACCTTTTTAACACAATTAGAATATGGTGGGCAGTTTTAAATACTTAGGCAAATGTTAAAGTTGTCAAGTTACGTTGCAACAAGAATCCTGTTTGTTGCTGATTACAATTCATTTTCATTGAATAGTCTCCTCCATAAAGGAAAAGAATAAAAAAAAACACTGTTTCTCTATACCTGCATATTAAATGTGAACGCTGTTATTAAGAGAAGCTTGTACTGATAGGAATAATATTCTACTCTGCAAGCCTCAAGTGTTCTGTTACATGGCAGAAAGCAACCTATACTAAGCACTTACTCATTTGCCACAGCTAGTTTTAGGATTAAATTGATAGAGCAATCAGTCACTGTATAATATTCTATTTGCACGTTGAAGTTAAAAAGTGCTATTAGAATTATTGTTCAAACATGAGGTCGGGTGGCTTTCATATATTCCGATATTCATTCAACATTTTAAATGTTTTTCTGCTTTCTTTTTTCTTTTCCTTTAACAGTCCTGGTACCTGGGCTAGCTTGGTCCCCTTTCAAGTATCAAACAGGACATCAATTCTGCCCACAAATGTCCAAAATTATGGTTTGAACATAATTGGAGAGCCTTTTCTTCAAGCAGAAACAAGCAACTGAGGGAGATTGAAACTGAACAAATACTATAAAAGAAAGGAAGATGGGACAAAAAGCAAAGAAGAAACTGAAGAAAGAAGAAACATAAACCAGCAATTGCAGCACTTACAATCATTAATTCCCTTAAGATTGAAACCGTAATGGCAAAACAACAACAACAACAAAAAAAAACGGGATTGGGGGAGAGGATCGATGATATTTCACTGATGCGTGGAAAGATGCTCCTCCTGAGTAGCCTTTGTTCTATGAAATCCACTGGGAAATAGATGTTCTGTCTCTGACAATATATTTTAACTGACTTTCTAGATGCCTTAATATTTGCATGATAAGCTAGTTTATTGGTTTAGTATTCTTGTTGTTTACGCATGGGATCACTATTCCTAGTTAGCTCTCAAAACAAAGGCTAGGAGGCATCCACAGAACTGCAGGAGAAGGAAGGCCAGAAGCCATTTTTTTCCCTCAGCAGTCTGATTTCTAAAAGATTTTTCAAAGAAAAAGAAACAAATTCAGCTTTTAGTTGTCAACCCCAATTTATTTAACTTAGGTCCTTAACCCAGTCTTTTCTTAGTGTGTTATCCAGTTTAAATTTTTCAGGAAGTCGTTTAAATAAGCAGGCATTCTATAAAATCAATGCCTTACTTTGGGTAAAAGAAAGTGTTATCGTCTCAAATGACAGTTTAAAAAACCTGAGAAAGACACTAAAATAATTCCCCATGCTAATGAAAACATTAGAGGCAAGTGCAATTTAAAACCTGTATCTAAAGGGGATAATTGTTATAAGTCCTTTACCCCTTGGACTCTAAATCGAGGGGATTAAAAGACAAGATAAGTTTCAAAAGTATTCGAACAAATGTATTTTTCCCTCACTTTTGAAAGGGAGGGGTCATTAAAAGGCATTAACTAAATCAAGACAAATCATTTACTTGAGAAAAAGATATTAATTGAAACACAGCACTTAAAGTTGATTTAGCTTCTGCCTCCTTTGAGGTATCTTATTTATTTAAAGTTACTGGTTGGATCAAGAACCCATAAATAATGGAAAAGGTTCTCTAGAACCTTCATGAGAGAGACAGAGAGAGGTAAATCCATGTCACAGGGGCATAGCTTCTGGTTTACAAATGGGAATGATAGATTGTCAGGTTGTGGGAAGGGGATCTGAAATATATTTTTTAAAAATGCACTCTTTAAAAAGCATAATGACAGGGTGCTGAAAACTTGCATGGTGCTCTCAGAAATTAGCCTTGTTTGACAGATTTCTCATATACACAATTTTGTGCATGGGCATTTTGCCTCTATGTCTCTATAAAAGAATAATTTAAAACTACTCTATCCAGTAATCCTAATTTGCACGAAGTTATAATGTCCACATAACGTGCCTTGCCTTGAAATCTAAAAAAGTGACATCACTACACTTATTTTGCTGCATTTATTATCATTTTAAATCTGTATCATTTTTATGACAAAATATTTTGTACTCCAGATGGGAAAACAACAACAAAAGTGACATCATGGATTTTTTAAGCAGTTATAACTTTATCTCACATTTATAAAGCATATCATGGCTGTGTATAGTTGCCGCTTAAAAATTGTAATCGACCAGCAATATTTTCAGTATTTTGGTGTTTTTTCTATTAATCTTTCATGTTTTTTCATCTTCCAATTAATATTGGGGGGAGGGGATTCAAATTTATACGACTTATGCAATACCAAGTTTTGCCTATGTAGGTAGTGCTTTTAGCTGTATTGGTTATTATAGGTAAGTACACAGATTTAAAAGACAAAAGATTAATGTATGCTTTTTTGTTTGTTTGTTTGTTTTAATTGACCAAAGTGGGTACTGCTATTTTTGCAGTGTGATGAGGTCCTTTTTGTGTACTAAGAGATGGACGGGATTTTTTTAAAAACTACATACATATATCTATATATTCTGGGGTGGGTGGGGAGGATTTTTAACACTTGACAGTGTAGCTGTGAAGCAGAGCATTGGCTGGGTGAAGGCTACAAAGCAACTCTTCTTCCTACTGTGATGTAAAAACAAAAAACCTAAAAAGGTATTTTCTTTTAAACTTTCCACCTGGGGTGCAAGCTGAAATCATTTCTGGTTTGAAAACAGGCATAATAATAATGAAAAGTAAATCAGAATGGATTTTATTGCAGGCAGACCTGATTTGAGAAAGAAATATCTACTTAAAAAAAAATATCTCAAGACCCACAGAGATCAAAAGCCCTGTAAAATTTTGCAAGTTAGACATCCATCATATGAAAGCCCAGTTTGAGATTTAAAAAATCACATAGCATATACTACCAAAACAGTACATGCTATGTAACAAAACATTTTCCAAAGATGCTAATTGTATACTAAATATTGAATTGGATTCAGTATTCATTTTCTAATTGTATACTAAATATTGAATTGGATTCAGTATTCATTGGGAATTCCATGATACTGTTGTATCCTTTGTCCTCTTACAAGAAATGAGATTCTGCCTCCCTTTTCTGCATTCCCCAATGTCACTGATTTCCATTGTAAGAGGTCAGGTGGCAGTGAAGGACTGGATTAGTCAATGACTAATCTGTCAGTGGATTGTCTTGCTGGATCAGATCCATTCTATAACCCTTCTCCCATATAGATCTATGCTTCTATATGTCAGTTCAAATCGCCAAGCACAAAAATGCACACATACCATGTCTTTGTGGACAACCTGGATAGATATTAAAATTAGTAATATAGAAAACTATCGGATCTGATGGCTTAATTATAAAGGTTTTCTTCTCTGGATAAAGGGTGATTCTATGGGATCACAGCCCCCTTGCACAAAACTAGCACTATTAAATTGTTTATTTCCACACTGTGTTTCTAGTACTGACAAGAACACAAGAGTAGTCAGTCTTATTTTTATGTTTTTGCAAAGACTAGCTCTTTTCTAAATAACTAGTTGTAAAGTTTAGATTAGGTAAAAATGAAAATGATGTCTTACAATCTTTTTTTTTTAAATAACACTTTATGGAGACATGGTATATTTGTCTGGATTCTAATTGAGAGAATGCACAGCAGTGAAAGAAAACCAACCAGCCAACATAATCCCATGCTGTCTCCAGAATAGAAATGAATGTAAGTGTATGTCCAATGTTAGTATTCCTAAGTGGCATGGATGTAGGTATTTTGTCCTTGGAGTCTGTACTGAAAATACAAACTAAAACCCAAGGAAGTGCTCAGTCTCTTTGTAAACTAACAGACAATTTTTATTTGCCTTTAGTTTCAGCAAACATAAATTGATAGGCAATTCATACACCTTTATAAATTCAGGTGAACTTTCACTTTTTTTTTCAGAGCAGTATTTCAGAACACTTCTCCCAACTAGAAATAAGCAGTGCTTAGGGTTGCCCCATAAAATAATAAAAATAATCCCGATCTTCTGTTTTGACCATGGCCTTTTGTGCTAGGTGCAATATGTCAATCAATTTCCACCTGCATTGCCACTGAATTAGTTGATATTTTATTAGGTGCAGCCTTCTTTAAAATGGTGCTGAAAATTATTGATGCTGAAAGAGAATCAAATTCCCTTTCAGGTTCGACCCACACCAATAAATGCCTTTTTGAGAAAGTTGCTTCTGTAAAGTCTGAGGGCAGTTGTAAAGCTCTAGGATTGTTGGTAAGGTTTGTATTTAGCTAAAGTAAGAATGAAACCAACTATATGTTAGCTCTTTTTCTGAGCCCCTTTGTAAGTGAATTAATTCACTAAATATATGACCGTTAGGAAGAACTGAAATGTACAAACACTGAAAGTTGGTGGCCCACAAAATGATGCACTGTTCTTTCAGTTTATCCTTTAATGAAGGACAATTTCATTAAAAATGGCTGGAGTGCAGCAGCCACTTAATCCAGAAATAATTTATTTTATTTGGAATACTGAAATCAAGATGAATTCAGACTTTAAAGTGCAATAGTATAATGGACAAGCGGAATTTGATAGAGAATAGTTGCAACTCAATTTCATAATAATCTTGACCTAATGAATACATCAATCAAATGGATGGGGTTTTTTTTCATAAAAGGAAAATATTTATAAAAAGGCTATCTTGCTATTTTGGATCCACTTTCTTGACATTGAATTACTTGATCATTTGGGCCATAATTCTGACAAAATTTTCAGGTTAATGCTCTCTGTGGGTTTTTCTGCCTCTCTTTATAATCAAAAGATCTATTGTTATCCACATCTACACTTCTCTCAGAGCTGAGAATTCCAGTGCAGAACGAAGTGTTACAAACTCTAAATCTAATCTAACCCCCTCCTTGATCAGGAAGTATATTCTGACAAAATCAAGTCACCCCGTTCTATGTGCACTGTTCTGCCTTTTTTCAATTGCTTTGCAGCCTTTACCCTTTGGCAGTGTCACTGAAGTGTATTTTCCCCTAGAATGACATGAACAGTTGAGGCTTGACTAAGGAAAAAAAGGCAGTGAAGGAGACTGTACATAGACATGGCAAAATATTAAATATAGCAATATAGTTGTGTGTTCAGGTGGGCAGCTCCATTTATAATATGTGAATGAACCTGTGAAGCTGCAATGAAGAGAAGAACAGAGGATCTTCTTAATGAACCCACCTAGCGTGTAGACAGTAATTTGTACACTGTATAGTTTTGTTAAGATTTTTTTTTAAAGCACCCTCGTTTGTAAAGCTAATTTTTAGCAATTATAATGGAAATGGATGTCATTTCCACTTCTAACGTAAACAAGAATCTTCCTTGTTTGGAAACTGGACTTGGGTTAAAACTCTCCAGTTTCTTAATTTATGTATTAAAACAAACAAAAAAATATTCTGTCCATGTTAACGAGATATTTCACTATGCTTGAAAAGCATAGGTTACTGATCCTTTTAAAAGAAATTGTAAATGGAGAAAAGTTATATTTTATGAAGGTTATTTTGTTGTATTTAGTATTGGAAAGTTGGGTTTTGGAGCATTTCAGAATGTTGGAAGCACCACTGTCTTTTTTTATTAGTATATATGGCCTTTAGCAAAAATGTTGTGATTGTTACATGATGGTATTTAAGAGCAGGTTCACAGAGCATCCAGGAGAGAATTTCAGTGAAAGAAAAATGAAAACAGTACTTACGTCTCATCTAGCAGTGTCCTCAGGGAGCAAAAATTTGGATTTGCAATTAGGAGCTTCGTAAGGACTTACTGAATGAGATTGCACAAGGATATACTGAGCTCTGTCAACAGTGTGTGTCCTGTATCTAAGTCATTCTAAATTTTGTATACTGTGTGAGATTGTGAAGACTGCATCCCACATTTGATGTACAGTATTCACCCTTGACAAAAAAAAAAAAAAAAAATCTTTACACACGTGCTGGCAGTAATGCCTCCAGCATGACATTGATTCTAGTTTACATGTTCCTGCCAAGGTCTTTTGTTAACATTTGCCAGCTGCATGCTTCCTAGGCTTTTATTTTTTTATTGGGTTTCTATAAAAGATGCTAAACGAAAAACAATGCAGGCAAATAATGTTGAACAGAGAAAGCTCAAAATTGAATGTCCTACTCCATGGGGAAGGAGCTGAAACCTGCCTCCTTCATATTTGCACTTTCTGAAAGTTCCCCTGTTTTTTTTCTATCTCCTCAAAACGTCTCGTGGGTGTGTTGGAGCCCCACAGTCAGAGGATAACACGGACCACTGGGTTTGCCCTTTGACCCAGCACAATGACCCTTGCATCAGCCAAACCTATTGCCATGACAACTCTTGTACTGTTTCCATGCCACAGCTCTATTGGTCACATTTGTTAATAGCAAAGGGGACAAAGCAGGAGACGGTCAATTTATACATTTTTGTTGCAATTTTTTTTCCTCAATGGTTGTAAGTAGTTTTTTTATATATATAATAAAAGGGTTCACTAGTTATTACTCCTTAGGATTATCTGTGTGTTGCAATTAAAATGTATGTTGACTTTGTGAAAGGAGCTTCAGTGGCACTCGCCACCCTCCACGCTCATTCAGGCCTCCGTTGCATTTAGTGCTCAAAATCTTTCCAGGAAGACCCAGAACAAACGCAGCAAGCAAAAAGCGACGGATGGCAGCGAGAGCCAGTGCCACTGAATCCAGTCTTTGTATTACTGTATTTTTGACAGAATGGTTTTGAAAACTGTGCTACAGGGACTGATGTGGCAAAATATGTATCTATATGCAGAAGGACTTTTTTAAAAATAAAAAAAGAAGTATGGCTTATTATGCATTCTTCATAGAGGGCATTGAAGTTGCATGGACTCATGAAAAGTTGATGCAAAATGAGAGAGAGAGAGAGACAAAAAAAACCAGCAAAAAAAAATGTTTACCAAAAAGAAAAAAAAGTGAGAGAAATTTTTAAAAAAATGACCAGTGCCTGTTCAGTTTCACAGTCTCTGTTGAGTTCAGTTGTAAATATGTTTCAGATAACATCTACTTCAAAAAAAAAATTAAAAATAGAAAATTACACCATTGTAGAATGTGAGGGGTGACATTTTCCCAGGCTTAGACTTCTCAAGAACTACATTAGATTGTCTTCATCAAGCTGTTAATTTGTGCTTATATCATATAGGACTTTAGTGAACTGGGAAGAAGCACCCCAATCTCAACGATAATTCTCTAAGAACAATTTTTGTAGGGCTGTGTGTTTCTTTAGATACATTTAGTGCAACTGTAGGTGACAAGTAGTCAGTTATTGCTTGCTAGCTACACACCAGGGTTGATCCATTTTAAAACTTCTGGCATGGTCTATCCTTCTCCACTTCTCCCCAGAGCCAGAGGTCCCCAATACGTTAGATGTACTTCCGTTGGCTTTGTTTTTAAACGCATGCAGAATTTTGGTGTAATGATAAATTTACCCATAGGATGCATATATACTCTGCAGTTTTCACTTTTACAAAATTGGGACCTCCGGTCATCAGACTCTTTTTGGGCCCAGAAGGCTTGCAAGAAGAGGTTCTGGGGAGAAGAACTCTGCTTATTTGCAGGACAGACATGTTCTTTGGAGTACTTTTCATTAGGTTACAAAGCTCAGCTGCCACAAGTTTTAAACTGGTGTAAATCAAGCTTGAGTTAATGTGATTTACTGTTATATCCAGCCTATACTGCTAGCAGCTGCTCATACTGCAGTCAATTACTGGAAGCAGATATATTTCCTATGCAAAACTGTTTAAACAATAAAATGAGCTATGCTACAGCCCTCTGGTCACTTGTGTTTTCTTTTCTCTCCCTCTTAAGAGTAATAGGTTAGTAATATTTTGGAAATGTTCTGATTTGCTGGATTCTCAGAGCACGCAGTAAGTCTTTTCAGTCTTCTATTCCTTCTGCTTGAGGTTTAAATGAGCTCTATATGTTCATATATCTGGCTTTTAATACACAGTTTAAGCTGGAGAAATAAAATAGAAAATTCCTAAAATGAAGCAGATCTTTCATTTTTATCCTTATTTGATAATAACTGCTAATGTTTACCTCTAAACTGTATTACAGGAAGATTTTTTTTAAATTAGAACCATGACCGGATCTGAGGTCTACTTTATTAGGTCTCTTGGCTGGAGCATTTATTTGATTATGTCTTTTTTATTCTGCAATTCCTGATAGGTTTTAAACATATTATTCACCTAACCCACACAATATATATATATATATATATATATATATATATATATATGTGTGTGTGTGTGTGTGTGTGTGTGTGTGTGTGTGTGTGTGTGTGTGTGTGTGTTAAAGGTAAAAAAGGATATATGCAGTGTTATGTTCATTTTAGATGTCAAAAGGGTCTCTCTCTCCCTCCCTCCCTCCCTCCCTCTCTCTCTTTCTGCCCTTGGTCTGCCAGTCCTCTTCCCCAACTCTTTCTCTCTCTCTCTCTCCCTCCTTCTGTCTGATCTTCTGCTCACCTGGCAAGCTGGCTTCAAGCTGTTCTTCAACAAGCTCAGGGGTAGGCAACCTTGGCTTTTATGACTCATGAACTTCAACTTCCAGAATTCCTGAGTCAGCATAGCTGAGCTAGCTAGCTCTCTCTGCCCTTCCTGCTTCCTGCAGAGATGCAGCAAAGGGAGGAGCCCCGCCCAAAAAGCTTTTCAGCTTGTCGGAGAACACTGAGTCCACTCTCTTTTATACACAGAGAGAGAGGGGGGAGCAGGGAAGCACAAGTGCCTCTTTCTGTCTCTCTCTCTCTCTGCAAATGGCAGAGGAGGCTGGGAGCCACAGGGAAAGGCTCAAAAAGCAGCATGTGGCTCCGGAGCCGCAGGTTGCCCACGTGTGACCTAGCCAATGTATACCAGAATTGCAGTAATTCAATGTGTGATAATTTGTGGCAAGCCCATTAGTGGATGCCTGATTATGGGTATCTGCCTTCATTTTGATTACTAGATCTGGTCTTTGGGGGGGAAAATAAGATAGCCTCTTGATTACAATCAACAAATACAAAAATCCCAGCATTTTGTCATTATCTAGTAGTCATTTGGATTTTTGCAATATAGATTTTTTAACAATACTTTCATCCTCAGTCTATATACAGTAACATTTAGATTTTCAAACATTAGGAAAAGTTTGATGGGATCACCCAAACATTGGGGTATGGGGCTCATTTCAAAGGGCAGGACCAGCAATAAAGAAGGCACACCACCTAAGTCAAATTAGTGCTGCTTCAAAGAAAAGACCTGGGACCTAATGAAACCTTATGGGATAGATAGAAATAACAGGAGACCTGCACTCTGGTAAATAACCCCACACCTGTGCTATCTGGTTTTTCTAGCTGATTACTGACTTCTTGATTTGCAATCAAAAGCTTATGGGAAGCCAATGCAGCTTCTGAAGTAGTTTTGTAATGTGGGCAGGTGATAATCATTATCTCACTTGGCCCCAAATTAGATGCACCTTTCTCTGTTCCTATTTCAATGGTCAGGCAATGAATCAGAATAAAGCTGGAAGGGACCTTGAACCCCTGTTCAAGCCATACCATTTCAGACAAGTGACTGTCCAGTCTCCTCCTAAAAGCCTCCGTTGATGATGCACCCAGAACTTCTGACAGCAAGCACTGATTAATTGTCCTCACTGTTAGGAAGTTTCTCCTTAATTTCAGATTGCTTTTCTCCTTGATTAGTTTCCAACCGTTGTTTCTTGTCCTGCCCTCTGGTGCTTTAGAAAATAAGTTGACCCCCCCACTTCTTTGTGGCAGACTCTCAGATATTGGAATACTGCTATCATGTTCCTCTATACTTCTTTTCTCTAGACTAGCCAAACCCAAATCCTGCAGCCTGTTCTTCATATGCTTTGTCTCCAGGCCGTTAATTATCTTAGTTGCTCTTCTTTACACTTTTTTCCCCCAATGTGTCAACATCTTTTTTGAATGTAACCCAAACTGGATGCACTGTTCCAGGTGTGGCCTTACTAAGGCTTTATAAATTGGTACTAATACTTCACATGATTTCGATTCTGTGCCTCTGTTATACAACCAAGGATTGTATTAGGTTTTTTGGCTGTTTCCACACACTACTAGTTCATGTTTAAATGATCTTTAAGAAGAATGACAAGACAAATATATTAGCAGCATTACTTTCTTAATGATATTGCACCTTAAATATTGCCATCATCTCTAATGCATTGTCTGTATAAAAGAAAATTAAACTAGGAATGCAGGCTTTATGAGTCACTTAACTTGTATATTGGACTAATTAATTGACAATATGATAACCTGCTTTAAAGTTTAATATTATACTGAAGCTCCTTTGGTCATTAGATGTAGAAAAGTAAAAATTATGCCTCCGTTAGGTTATGTTTGTGGTGTTACAAATTATCTTATATTTCCATTAATTGAAAGAGATCTATATTGTCCAGTAGGATGCAATTTATCCACATGTACTTGATTTACTAATTGTTAAGTGGAAAATGGTAATCAATTAAAAAGTCCTTGAATTGGTTCACAGCTGCACTTAAAGGCACTGCTAAAATAAAGATACTGTTGTTCTGCAAGATTTTGGCCAGAAGGCCAAGCCTGCAGTCTTTAAACTTTGGCTTTTTCTCTGGGCTTGGTGCCAATTCATATACTTTTTGATTTTCCAGAGCACAAGGCCTCTCTTAGACGTTTAGATTTAAAATAGTTTTCCAGCTGGAGAACTACAAGAGTTTAACCCTGTGTGAGTTAGTCTGGGCTATGAAAGTGGGAGCTTCCTTGCTTAGCATTTATCATAGAAATCTGTCCCCTTTAAAAATTCTCAGGAGAGCTTAAATACATTCAAGATATTGAAATATCTCCAGTAACTTAACCCTATATATTTCTAATCAGGAGTTATTCCCATTGTGATCAATGGAACTTTTACACACATTACTTCATCAATAGAAGCAACACAGAAGTTGTAGAAAACTCGAAACAGCAACCATCTTGATAAAAATGAAATCATATTTAACATAGATGTCCCTGACATGAGTGGCTGTCCGCTACCACCTCTGTGAAGGACATTTTATCTTTGGGATAAACCACAGAAATATATTTCCTCCTCAATAGGTCCTTAATAGATATGACCAATTGGAGATATTTATGATAAAAACCCAGAAACTGATCAATGTTCATATGTTTTCATACAGTTTATTCAGTAGTAACAATGAAATCAAAATAAATGAGTAAGGCCGTTAATTGAAATAACTCTTTTAAAAAAAATCCTCTTACTAATACAATCATTTTTCCTTGGCTTATCTGTAAAAAGGCTATATCTAAGAAATAACTAAAAGGTGGTGTGTTAATTTTCTTTCCACTTTAATTTTAATCATCTGGGATTCAGATGACCCAGTTGAAAGGAATCAAAATCAGCATGAATTGTTTGATTGACTTTACTTAAGAGATTCTAAACTATTTGAGTGAATTAAAAATAGACAAGTTTTTCTGGAGGAAAACTCAATCCAGCAGGGATCAGATGTAGATAATATATGCAAGTTGGTCTATGATTAACATTGCAAGCGTCAATGCTTGTAAAACTAGCATATTGCAAGCTGGAGCCCAGCTGTGTCTCCCCAAAAGCCATCAGGGGAAGGTGTTTTTCTTGCCCCTCCCTTGCTGGATATAGCTTATTACTAATTTTGTAAAGCTGAAACCAAAAATCTCTAGAGGGGTGAGCAGGGCACTCTGAACCGAGACATTATTTTTATTGTTGTTGCTGTTATATTATGGTTTTCGCATAGCCAGCCAGATGTTCAAATGTTGGCAATTCTGTCCACATATCAAGTCCGTCCCAAGGACCTGGGATAGGCAGATCTTTTTTGATGAGTGTGACTTTTCCAAATATCCAGAATATTTTAAATAATAATCCAAAAGAGTTTTTTAAAAAGCCATCACCCAACGCTTTTCTCTCCCCCTCATATATTATACACTATATTTATTTAGAAATTATATTTCCTGGAGTTCAACATAAAATAAAAATGCACTCATTGTGGTTGGATGTGATTTGTTAAATTATCACTGTATGGCTCTGGATGACATGCACAAAAGCTTGTCCTGTTCAGCATTTCTTATTAGATGTAGATGTAGATATAGACATGAAGTTTTAAAAAGAAGATAAAAAATTAACAAACATGAATACAAAATAAAGAAGAAAGTAAAGGGAGCAAGAAGAGAAACCAGAGCAAAAGAACAAAAGAAAAAAAACAGAAGCTGACTTTCTTTGCAGCAAATACAGGTATGATTACAAAAATATTTTCTACTCTATGGATACAAAGAAAGCTCTATTTTTTCTATTGTCAAATGTTTTCTAATCACCAAAACCACAAATTAAAAGTTCATTGTTTCTGTTTCATACAAAAAATTGATAAGGGATTTCCAGTCAGCAATAACATAGAAATTGTCTTTTTTCTAATCATGTTAGCCATCTCTACAAGTTCCATCCAGTTTCACCAACAATTCTGCCATTCTGGGTAGTGCCAAATGTTTCCACTTTGGTGCATATAATCTTGCTACTGTTACCATATATAAAATATTTCGACCTTTCTGATAATTGTATAAAAGAAGAACATTGCCAAGTATGTCCTTCTATTAGCTGATTGTCTCTTGATTTTATTTTGCATTCCCCTTGAAAGAGTTCTGAAATATTACAATAAGCTATCCATTTCTGTTTACTTACAATTTCTCTGCTTTAAAATGCTGCTTCTGCTGAAAGCCACAAAAGTGTTTTTGGACCCAATCTGTATTTATATTTATTCCATATTCTC